GATCTTAAAACGGGAGGATGACACACGGGGTAAGAACATATATCTGAAGTTTCAGCCCCCCAGCTTCCTGGTTGCCGAGTTGAAAGTGGGTGACAAAATTCACTCGCTTTGCGCGCGCACACACACAGACAGCCTCTCGACAATATGCGTTTTTGCTGGCTGTTGCAGCGCTATAGCGCTGCTATAGCGCTGCACAGCAAAAACGTATAAAAAGATACAAAAGTAAGCAACATACCCCTTCGTGATTCGTTGGCACTTCTGCAGTAACCGCAACTCCTGCGGCAGTACCTGCTCATGTAGTCGATGTTATTGGGACACTCGCCGTCATCGGCCCATAAGCCACAGCAGGGATCGTCATTCAGACAAGCTGTTGTTCCTGTCGCTCGCACTAGCTGGAAATTAAATATTACACTAAAAAATGTTTAGTGGAACCTGAAAGATCCACGGTAATATAGGACAACGGTACAGAGACGAAGGCATCCAAAGAGAACTTGGAGGAAAGGGCAACTTCGCAAACAACCTTTGAAATTGGGAAGGCACGTCAGGAAGAGAGGGAGAGGATGGGAGGGAAGGAAGGGGGAGGGTTAGGAGGGAAGGGAGAAAGAGTAATGGTAGGTTGTTGTTTCAGCTTTCAATTAATGTATATTTATCAGAAAAACCCAGCATTAGTCATGTGGCTGTTGTCAAAACTCACCGTGTTTATTGTTCGATTCGATCCATTCCGCGATCTTGGCCTTGCTGTGGGAGCAACTGACGGCCATTGTGCTGGCGGTGCAGTAGTAATGCGGTTTAGTGGACTTCGAGTTACAGCTAGCGGTCGAGCACGAGCGGGAAACTGTGGTGCTGCTGTAGAGAGCGCTGCCTGCAGTCAGCGTGGAATCAAAATTTCATTATTTGGTAGCTCAACAAAATTTGGTTAGAAAGTGTTCAAAGCTGGAAATGTGCAACTGAAAATGATTTTGCATAAATTTTGCTTGTTATGCGTTTTTGGTTATATGCAAATTGCCAAAACGCACATTACGACGACCCTGTGTGTGCTTGTGTATGTGTATGTGTGTGTGTGTGTGTTCGGGTGTTTCAACTCGGCAACCAAGCAAGCTCCAGCACCAAAATTTTGCTAGTGGGTTCCTTGGCCAAGTGCCACCCCAGGATCGCAGTGTCAACTCTTATGCAAGTCTAGGTTCCGCATACGAGAGGGTGAAAGTTTTGGCGGGAAAATTGGTAACTCGAGAAAGAGAAAAGATAGAGAGCTGAAATTTTGAGATTATGCTCCCCGACCACATATTTCAAACTCAGCCCATAGTTGTGCGTGGTTGCCACGTACAACCCCGTCAGGGTTCCTGGCGCGAAAATCGCTAACTTGGAAACCAGGAAAACCAGGAAGCTGGAATTTTAAATAAATGTTCCCCGCCTATGCACAACTCAATTTTGTCAAATTCAGCCACCAGGCATGCATGGTTCTCACGCGCGGCTCCGTAAAGTTTTTGTTGGGAAGAATTGAATTACTAACTCGGAAAAGAGAAAAGCTGGGAGGCTGAAATTTTAAGGGAATCTTCCCACACCGTAAACAACTTAAAGTTACCAAATTCAGCCTCCAGGCATGCGTAGTTCTCACGTACGACCCCGTGAAATTTTTTAGAGGGAAAACGGCTAACTTGGGAACCAGGAAAGCTGGAAGGCTGAAATTTTAAGTAGT